AAAAATGAAGGAAAAGGGAAGGGACCACAAATTTCCAATACTGATCGAAACAGGTTAACTCCTTGAAAGTCTGGGAGTTTCACAAACGTTTCGACCCCAGCAAGGACTCGAATCTTGAAGCTTCGGTTTAGGAGACCGACGCCTTATCCATTAGGCAACAGGGCCTCGAACGTCGTTCCATCATCCCACTTTCATTCACTTTTTTTCATACATTTTGCATTCTCCTGCTCATTCCAGAATCGTTTTCCGGGTGACTGTAAGCTTTGCAAAAGTTTCGACCCAGCAAGGACTCGAACCTTGAATCTTCGGTTTAGGAGACCGACGCCTTATATTACAAAGGGCTCGAACTCTTCCATTATCCTTACATTCATTCACTTTTTTTACATTTTGCATTCTCCTGCTCATTCCAGAATCGTTTTCCGGGTGACTGGAAGCTTTGCAAAAGTTTCGACCCAGCAAGGACTCGAACCTTGAATCTTCGGTTTAGGAGACCGACGCCTTATCCATTAGGCCACAGGGCCTCGAACGTCGTTCCGTCATCCACTTTCATTCACTTTTTTTCATACATTTTGCATTCTCCTGCTCATCCCAGAATCGTTTTCCGGGTGACTGGAAGCTTTGCAAAAGTTTCGACCCAGCAAGGACTCGAACCTTGAATCTTCGGTTTAGGAGACCGACGCCTTATCCATTAGGCCACAGGGCCTCGAACGTCGTTCCGTCATCCCACTTTCATTCACTTTTTTTTCATACATTTTACATTCTCCTGCTCATCCCAGAATCATTTTCCGGGTGACTGGAAGCTTTGCAAAAGTTTCGACCCAGCAAGGACTCGAACCTTGAATCTTCGGTTTAGGAGACCGACGCCTTATCCATTAGGCCACAGGGCCTCGAACGTCGTTCCGTCATCCCACTTTCATTCACTTTTTTTCATACATTTTACATTCTCCTGCTCATCCCAGAATCATTTTCCGGGTGACTGGAAGCTTTGCAAAAGTTTCGACCCAGCAAGGACTCGAACCTTGAATCTTCGGTTTAGGAGACCGACGCCTTATCCATTAGGCCACAGGGCCTCGAACGTCGTTCCATCATCCCACTTTCATTCACTTTTTTTCATACATTTTACATTCTCCTGCTCATCCCAGAATCGTTTTCCGGGTGACTGGAAGCTTTGCAAAAGTTCGACCCAGCAAGGACTCGAACCTTGAATCTTCGGTTTAGGAGACCGACGCCTTATCCATTAGGCCACAGGGCCTCGAACGTCGTTCCATCATCCCACTTTCATTCACTTTTTTTCATACATTTTGCATTCTCCTGCTCATCCCAGAATCATTTTCCGGGTGGGGTGACTGGAAGCTTTGCAAAAGTTTCGACCCAGCAAGGACTCGAACCTTGAATCTTCGGTTTAGGAGACCGACGCCTTATCCATTAGGCCACAGGGCCTCGAACGTCGTTCCGTCATCCCACTTTCATTCACTTTTTTTCATACATTTTGCATTCTCCTGCTCATCCCAGAATCATTTTCCGGGTGACTGGAAGCTTTGCAAAAGTTTCGACCCAGCAAGGACTCGAACCTTGAATCTTCGGTTTAGGAGACCGACGCCTTATCCATTAGGCCACAGGGCCTCGAACGTCGTTCCGTCATCCCACTTTCATTCACTTTTTTTCATACATTTTACATTCTCCTGCTCATCCCAGAATCATTTTCCGGGTGACTGGAAGCTTTGCAAAAGTTTCGACCCAGCAAGGACTCGAACCTTGAATCTTCGGTTTAGGAGACCGACGCCTTATCCATTAGGCCACAGGGCCTCGAACGTCGTTCCGTCATCCACTTTCATTCACTTTTTTTTCATACATTTTACATTCTCCTGCTCATCCAGAATCGTTTTCCGGGTGACTGGAAGCTTTGCAAAAGTTTCGACCCAGCAAGGACTCGAACCTTGAATCTTCGGTTTAGGAGACCGACGCCTTATCCATTAGGCCACAGGGCCTCGAACGTCGTTCCGTCATCCCACTTTCATTCACTTTTTTTCATACATTTTACATTCTCCTGCTCATCCCAGAATCATTTTCCGGGTGACTGGGAAGCTTTGCAAAAGTTTCGACCCAGCAAGGACTCGAACCTTGAATCTTCGGTTTAGGAGACCGACGCCTTATCCATTAGGCCACAGGGCCTCGAACGTCGTTCCGTCATCCCACTTTCATTCACTTTTTTTCATACATTTTACATTCTCCTGCTCATCCCAGAATCATTTTCCGGGTGACTGGAAGCTTTGCAAAAGTTTCGACCCAGCAAGGACTCGAACCTTGAATCTTCGGTTTAGGAGACCGACGCCTTATCCATTAGGCCACAGGGCCTCGAACGTCGTTCCATCATCCCACTTTCATTCACTTTTTTTCATACATTTTACATTCTCCTGCTCATCCCAGAATCGTTTTCAGAATCATTTTCCGGGTGACTGGAAGCTTTGCAAAAGTTTCGACCCAGCAAGGACTCGAACCTTGAATCTTCGGTTTAGGAGACCGACGCCTTATCCATTAGGCCACAGGGCCTCGAACGTCGTTCCGTCATCCCACTTTCATTCACTTTTTTTTCATACATTTTACATTCTCCTGCTCATCCCAGAATCATTTTCCGGGTGACTGGAAGCTTTGCAAAAGTTTCGACCCAGCAAGGACTCGAACCTTGAATCTTCGGTTTAGGAGACCGACGCCTTATCCATTAGGCCACAGGGCCTCGAACGTCGTTCCGTCATCCCACTTTCATTCACTTTTTTTCATACATTTTACATTCTCCTGCTCATCCCAGAATCGTTTTCCGGAATCGTTTTCCGGTGACTGGAAGCTTTGCAAAAGTTTCGACCCAGCAAGGACTCGAACCTTGAATCTTCGGTTTAGGAGACCGACGCCTTATCCATTAGGCCACAGGGCCTCGAACGTCGTTCCATCATCCCACTTTCATTCACTTTTTTTCATACATTTTACATTCTCCTGCTCATCCCAGAATCATTTTCCGGGTGTGACTGGAAGCTTTGCAAAAGTTTCGACCCAGCAAGGACTCGAACCTTGAATCTTCGGTTTAGGAGACCGACGCCTTATCCATTAGGCCACAGGGCCTCGAACGTCGTTCCGTCGTCCACTTTCATTCACTTTTTTTCATACATTTTACATTCTCCTGTTCATCTTTCAAAAAAGACTTTGACTGAACTTCAACACATCGCGCCTCGTGCCCTTAAGTCACATAGATAAGTTCGCCTTTCTGCAGGAAGGCACAGGCGTTTTGTTCGTCTTCTTTTTGTGCACTACAATGATTTCTAGAGAACCTTTCATTGTACAAACGATGATACCATTTGGAAAAGGCTGAATCGAACAATGAACAACAAATTGGCGCTGGGTGGATCGCGCTCGCTTTGCGTAGCAGACAATTTTTTGGGCAGACTTGTCTGCTGTCCCGATTTCTTCCCAAGTTTTTGTGTGCATTTTATAGGTCGTATAACAGCACAACTAACCCGTTGCTTACAGAAATGGCCAAATATTCCTTTCCTATAAATATTTCCATTTGCAGAAGTGTTCCCAGTAATTTCCACATCGGTTCCTGGCTGCACCAATCAAGCCCACCTCCCAAGTTGGTTGATCCTCTTGGAGATAAAAGCGCTAACTTATCGGTCGATCCCCATAAATCATTATATAGGTCAGATATGATTCAAAATTTCTGCACTTTTTTGGATGGAAGCTCAGTGGGTGGCCATAATAAAAGGTTGAAGGCGACGTGATTCGACCATGACTCCCAAAGTTCCTTCCTTGTGTTCTGAGATCCCAGTTATTCACTTTTAGGCGTAGGAACTTCCCTTTTGTTCTGGCTCAGGTCAGCATACGTCGTTTAGCCCCGTTCGCTTGTACGCCTGATAAGCGATGATAAAAGGTGTAGGCTAAACTGGGGAAATCGGCTGCGCTCGTCTCATGAAGTGAACGCTTTGTGATCGCATCCTTCTCGATTCAAAATGAACGTCAATAAACGATGACGCTACAAAATCGTTTCACCGTCGAAAAAGGACGTGGGAACGAAATCGGTAGCTCCAATTACCACCTGAAAGTCTTCTCTCCTGTTTATTGACACTTCTCTGCTCGCGATTATTCCCGCACTATTTCGAACAGGCGTACCGTTTGCGACCATTGAGTACATTCAGAGTTTACAGGCGTTGAAGGCACTTTAGACCACCCACTATACACGCCACCTATCGAGCTTAAGGCGTTGTTGTGGCTGCTTTCCGCCCGCGCGAGATGATTTGATATATTTTGACTGCGTAGGACGTTAGCGTCCAAGTTATTTGCGATGACGGTTTTTCTCGGCTTGCGCATCCGGATGGCCGAAAAAGTCTTCCAGTTTTATCACACTGGCGCTTCTCGACTGCTTATAAGGTCAGCCGCGCCGTGATTATCGCCTTCACATTTTCGGGCCTACAAGCCGCTGAGCGTTCCATTTAGTTCTCACTTATCCGCTATGGGAACCGCAGGTGATGGCTTGGCACGTCCTTCTCGCTGACCGTACACTGTTCTTCATCACAAGTTTCTGCGCTGTGTTGAAGATTACAGCGCGGTACGGATATAAATGGATCACTCAGCTGAAAGGGACTCCTTTCATGCTTTGGGACTTGAAGCTTTTGTTTTTTTCCCAAATCGGTGACAACAGGGAAAGTATTGCCTGTTCTCTACGCATCTCAAGTATCCTATACCGATTTGCTTTCTTAAGGCGATTAACGAGAACGAAACGGACCACTTCTTTCAGTCTGTTTAATGCTAGTATGTGGGTTAGGCGTCATAGAAGTGATGTCGTAGATAGGAATTAGGACACTACCATAAATACCGTAATTCGCATCATATTTGTGGGGGAGCCCTTCGGATCCCTATTGAGCTGATTATTTATGTCGCTTCCACAGCCACCGCGAGGCACCGCACCGACTCGGAGCACCATGCTTTATATGGCACAATGTGTCATCTGTTTCTACCTTCTATATTTTCCTTCTGTATTTGAAAGTTATCTGGAAAACCTCTGCAAAAACTAAAGAATATTTGGCCATTATAAAAGCCACGTTGGTTCTTGGTTGTGTTGAATGTACGGCCCTATAAAATCAACAGCATTTTCGCATGTCAGATATCGGCTCGCATTA